CAGTACCGGAACCTTTATTTCCCCAGTATAGGAGAGTACCGGAACCTTTATTCCCCCAGTATAGGCGAGTACCGGAACCTTTATTCCCCCGATATAGGAGAGTACCGGAACCTTTATTCCCCCGGTATAGGAGAATACCGGAACCTTTATTCACCCAATATAAGACAGTACCGGAACCTTTATTTCCCCAGTATAGGAGAGTACCGGAACCTTTATTCCCCCATTATAGGTGAGTACCGGAACCTTTATTCACCCAATATAGGACAGTACCGGAACTTTTATTCCCCCGGTATAGGACAGTACCGGAACCTTTATTCACCCAATATAGGACAGTACCGGAACCTTTATTTCCCCAGTATAGGAGAGTACCGGAGCCTTATTTCCCCCAGTATAGGAGAGTACCGGAACATTTATTCCCCCCAGTATAGGAGAATACCGGAACCTTTATTCCCCCAATATAGGAGAGTACCGTAACCTTATTTCCCCCAGTATATGAGAGGAACCTTTATTCCCCCAGTATAGGAGAGTACCGGAACTTTTCCCCCCCAGTATAGGAGAGTACCAGAACCTTTATTGCCCCAGTATAGGAGAGTACCGGAACCTTTATTCCCCCAGTATAGGAGAGTACCGGAACCTTTATTCCCCCAGTATAGGAGAATACCGGAACCTTTATTCCCCCAGTATAGGAGAGTACCAGAACCTTTATTGCCCCAGTATAGGAGAGTACCGGAACCTTTATTCCCCCAGTATAGGAGAGTATAGGAGAGTATAGGAGAGTATAGGAGAATACCGGAACCTTTATTCCCCCAGTACTGGAATCTCTGTTACTCCAATATAGAAGAGTACTGGAACCTCTGTTACCCCAGTATAGGAGAGTACCGGAACCTTTATTCCCCCAGTATAGGAGAGTACCGGAACCTTTATTCCCCCAGTATAGGAGAGTACCGGAACCTTTATTCCCCCAGTATAGGAGAGTACCGGAACCTTTATTCCCCCAGTTTAGTAGAGTACCAGAACCTTTATTCCCTGAGTATAGGAGAGTACGCCCCCTCCTGCCCCCCCGGAACCTTTATTACCCGAGTATAGGAAAGAATCAGCACCTTGATTGTTCTATTTCATCCCGGACCTCCCCACTGTGCATCTATGAATGTCTCCCGATAAATGATAGTTTCAATGTATCTCTTGTATCTTTAATGAACCATAGCTTTCATCTTTACAGCCCCGTCTGTAGGAAACGATTCCAATTGCCACTAGTGATTCCCTTCTACTATTTTCCATGATTAACTGGTGTCATCCTTAAATCCCACAGGATCAACACTGTAATTCCCGTCTTTATTACCGTGTTCCTTTCAATAAATGTGTGCTCAGCATCCATGACAAATGTCTCATAAATCTGGTTTTCTATAAAGTTTATTTTGAAAATTGTCCCATAGTAAGCCTTCAAAGTTCTTCCGTACGTCCATTCTCTGCATTAAATCAGCTTCCTAGCTCACTGAAAATGTGGAGACTTTGCGGGACTTTGCGTCGAGATAAGAGCTTGGTATGAAGACTAGGAGACACATGGAGAATGCTCAAAGGACACAAAGGGGAACAATAGTTCAACAATGCCATGCTTTCTTCTATAAATCTGTGCCGTGTGTGCCAATGAAGAGCATTTCTGCCTACGTGAGAAGTACCGATGTCTGTGGATTAGGAGGTGAGAGAAACATAGAAACATAGAATGTGACGGCAGATAAGAACCATTCGGCCCATCTAGTCTGCCCAATTTTCTAAATACTTTCATTAGTCCCTAGTCTTATCTTATAGTTAGGATAGCCTTATACCTATCCCACGCATGCTTAAACTCCTTTACTGTGTTAACCTCTACCACTTCAGCTGGAAGGCTATTCCATGGATCCACTACCCTCTCAGTAAAGTAATACTTCCTGATATTATTTTTAAACCTTTGTCCCTCTAATTTAAGACTATGTCCTCTTGTTGTGGTAGTTTTCTTCTTTTAAATATAGTCTCCTCCTTTACTGTGTTGATTCCCTTTATATATTTAAATGTTTCTATCATATCCCCCGTCTCGTCTTTCCTCCAAGCTATACATGTTAAGATCTTTTAACCTTTCCTGGTAAGTTTTATCCTGCAATCCATGAACCAGTTTAGTAGCCCTTCTCTGAACCCTCTCTAAGGTATCAATATCCTTCTGAAGATACGGTCTCCAGTACTGTGTACAATACTCCAGAGGTATGTGTCCTGATGTCTGTGTATTAAGAGGAGGTGAGAGGTACGTGTCCTGATGTCTGTGTATTAGGAAGTGGGGAGAGGTAGGTGTCCTGATGTCTGTGTATTAGGATGTGAGAGGTACGTGTCTTGATGTCTGTGTATTAGGAGGAGGTGAGAGGTACGTGTCTTGATGTCTGTGTATTAGGAGGAGGAGAGAGGTAGGTGTCCTGATGTCTGTGTATTAGGAGGAGATGAGAGGTAGGTATCCTGATGTCTGTGTATTAGGAGGAGATGAGAGGTAGGTATCCTGATGTCTGTGTATAAGGAGGAGATGAGAGGTAGGTATCCTGATGTCTGTGTATTAGGAGGAGATGAGAGGTAGGTATCCTGATGTCTGTGTATTAGGAGGAGATGAGAGGTAGGTATCCTGATGTCTGTGTATTAGGAAGCTTTTTGTGGTTCTTTGTATAAGAAGTAGGTGAGATAGAAGTATCAGAGGTAACAGAAGTAGGGCTGTGGCATGCTGTCTGTGTATTGTGTCTCACTATTAGCAGTGATTAGGTAGGTACTTGCATATAACACTCATTAGGAAGGCTTGCAGCATCGTTAAGAAGGTAAATAGTAATTGTCAGTTTTGTAAACTGAAGCCAATTAATCACGGCATTTCTTCAATGTGTTTGTGTTAATTGGAGTCTGCATTCCTCCTGTCGTGGTATAGAGTTACATTCCAATATACCATAATCACTGCACATGTATGGCATTCCCAGACTGTGCATGAATTTACCATCAGGAATATTACATTCATTCTGGATTTTCAGTGACAAAAAAATTAGGCAAAAATATCTGATGTGGAAAAATTCTCAACTCTACGATATTCACAGCTTGGATGTGTTAGCCTCAGTTTGGACCCTCTGGATTTAGATCTAGACATGTCTATATGTGAGCACGTGTAGGCATGTAGACAGCTGGGGTAAAAATGATTTCCATAAACAAAGAGCCGTCAGAACAGCAAGATCCAGGCGGCGATCAGGATTTGGGTGACGCTGTAATGGTGCTGCGCCAAATTATTACAGAGACTTTCAGAATGGTGGCCTTCTTAACAAATCTTTTAACAAATCCTAGTGGTTTTATGGGTGGAGATAATTTTTTCTGCTTGGTTCATCTATTCTGTTTGCGTGCACAAATTTACTCTCACATGGTACATCAGCCACCCAAGTACTGCGAGGACGAGATAAAGAAACTCAGAGTTGGAGAATGCGCAGAGACTTGGATTGGTCAAACCACATCACTGCGACATCTTCAAAAAGTATAAAGACACGGTTTTATCTGATCGCAGTGTGCGCCAGCTGAATTACTCTGAAAGTGCTAAAACTCTGTCACTTTGTTTTGTAATCCTGCTTGATTGTTCAATAATTATCTTTTTTGATTTGGACCAGTTGTTTCATGTGCCTTATCTTCTTCAACAAAGGGCTGCTCCAACCACCATAACCACTTCTGTTTTCAGAAGTGGTTATGGTGGTATGAGTGTTTCGGGCTGAAATGCTACATGTCCAGAGATATTTCCACTTTTGTGCCAGGGACCAGTTACACTCCCAGCACTCGCTACTTTGTTAAATCTGTGCAAAAATAACTGGATATGCACCTGCCAGAGGAAGCATTATCTCCCCTCCATCCCTCGCTCCCTCCCTCTCTCTTCCTTCTCAGTTGAGTCCTCTCTTCAGTCCAGGCCTCCCTACTGTGCTCTGGTCAGTTTTTGACCCCATGCGAGGGAGGCTGTGACGTCAGACGAGGCATGGAATCCGGTATGGGGAGCTTCACCCAGCACTCGAGTCCAGGTACGTTTTTTTTTCCGTTAAAGGTTTACTAGGGGGGGGTTGGTCATGAATAAATGCATTTACAAAATCCGATCATTTATGTAGGGTTGGAGTAACCCTTTAACTATGCAGAAGTTAGTGAAATTCTAGTTGTTCCAAAAGCCAAGCTGAGAACAATGGGAGTTTCAGTCCCATAGCATCTGCAGCACCCCTGTTAGATTAGTGGTATTTTTTGTTTCTTTTGTTGCGAAATTCTGTATTTATTTATTTTTGAGGTCAGGTAGCTGATATACTCTGAGGAAGGCAGTGCTGGGACATTCTGAGCGCCACTATTTAACGTCGCCGCTTGTAAAGTGAAAAAAAAATACAGCTTTAAGATTGCCAAAGAAAGACGATCATTGCACTCATGAATGATAATGTCCCAATCAGGCCTGTATTAGGACTTTGAAAGAGAGAGAATTTTCGACACACCTGCAACCTTTCCCGTCAGAGGCGTGGGCATTTTGGGGAATTTTCAGCCCTTTGTCAATGTCATCGCTTGGGTTATTTAGGATAGGTCATCCCAGGAAGGGTTGATTTTACAAGGTTTCCAAATCAGTGCAATGAATTACCGTAAGATGAGCAATAAAAATAATGATTTAAATTTAAACTCGTCCTGTAAACTATTTGCATATTAGCCATCACGGCAAGTAGCCAATGCTGGAGCCTGTTTACCCATTAAATAAGAATTAACTTAATGAAGGGCTAGGGCGCTTTCCTTAGAGGGTGATGCCAGACTCGTTAGTGCTACGCCAGCTCGCACGTGTGCCCTGGAGATCACCTACTCCGATCATTCCCAGACACGCCAGCTTGATGTTACATGTGATTATGCCGGGACCCAGACAGTATTAGGAGGAGTGATGGGTGTGACTGTGGGCGTAGAGTTTATGTACACAGGTTTTTTGTTAGGTGAATATAAACAGAAAGTCAGGCAGAGTGAGAGGCACAGCGAGATACGGTGAGAGACTGGGACACGGTGATAGACTGAGACAGTGTGAGACACAGCGAGAGAATTAGACAGTGTGAGACACAGTGAGACATGATGAGAGACTGAGACACAGCGAGACACGGTGAGAGAATGAGACAGTGTGAGACACAGTGAGACATGGTGAGAGAAGGAGACAGTGTGAGACACAGCGACACACAGCGAGACACTGTGAGAGAATTAGACAGTGTGAGACACAGTGAGACACGGTGAGAGAATGAGACAGTGCGAGACACAGCTAGATACGGTGAGAGAAGGAGACAGTGTGAGACACTGTGAGAGACTGAGACAGTGTGAGACACAGCAAGACACAGTGAGAGAAGGAGACCGTTTGAGACACAGCGAGACATGGTGAGAGACTGAGACAGTGTGAGACACAGCGAGACACAGTGACAGATTGAGACAGTGTGAGACACAGCGAGACACGGTGAGAGACTAAAACACAGCGAGACACGGTGAGAGACTGAGACACGGTGATAGACTGAGACAGTGTGAGACACAGCGAGACACAGCGAGAGACTGAGACAGTGTGAGACACGGTGAGAGAATGAGACAGTGTGAGACACAGCGAGACACGGTGAGAGACTGGGAGTGTGAGACACAGAGTTAGTGAATAACATTGACAGAGACACAGAGTTAGGGAATAACATTGATAGAGACACAGAGTTAGGGAATAACATTGACAGAGACACAGAGTTAGGGAATAACATTGATAGAGACACAGCGTTATGGAATAACATTGATAGAGACACAGAGTTAGGGAATAACATTGATAGAGACACAGCGTTAGGGAATAACATTGATAGAGACACAGCGTTAGTGAATAACATTGAGCATTAGGGAATAACATTGATAGAGACACAGCGTTAGTGAATAACATTGAGCATTAGGGAATAACATTGATAGAGACACAGCGTTATGGAATAACATTGATAGAGACACATCGTTAGTGAATAACATTGATAGAGACACAGAGTTAGGGAATAACATTGATAGAGACACAGCGTTAGGGAATAACATTGATAGAGACACAGAGTTAGTAGATAACATTGATAGGGAACACAGAGTTGGGAATAACATTGATAAAAGACACAGCGTTAGTGAATAGCATTGGTGAGACACAGAGTTAAAGAATAACATTGATAGACACACGCATTGGCAAGATAACTTTGATAGAACACAGAGTTAGGAATAACATTGATAGAAACACAGAGTTAAGGAATAACATTGATAGACACCGCATTAATGAATAACTTTGATAGAGACACAGAGTTAGGGAATAACATTGTTAGAGACACAGAGTTAGGGAATAACATTGATAGAGACACATCGTTAGGGAATAATATTGATAAAGACACAGCGTTAGTGAATAACATTGATAGAAACACAGAGTTAAGGAATAACATTGATAGACACCGCATTAATGAATAACTTTGATAGAGACACAGAGTTAGGGAATAACATTGATAGAAACACAGAGTTAAGGAATAACATTGATAGACACCGCATTAATGAATAACTTTGATAGAGACACAGAGTTAGGGAATAACATTGATAGAGACACATCGTTAGGGAATAATATTGATAAAGACAAAGCGTTAGTGAATAACATTGATTGAGACACAGAGTTAGGGAATAACATTGATAGAGACACAGCGTTAGGGAATAACATTGATAGAGACACAGAGTTAGGGAATAACATTGATAGAGACGCAGCGTTAGTGAATAACATTGATAGAGACACAGCGTTAAGGAATAACATTGATAGAGACACATCGTTAGTGAATAACATTGATAGAGACACAGCGTTAGTGAATAACATGGATAGAGACACAGAGTTAGGGAATAACATTGATAGAGACACAGCGTTAGTGAATAACATGGATAGAGACACAGAGTTAGGGAATAACATTGATAAAGACACAGCGTTAGTGAATAACATTGATAGAGACACAGAGTTAGTGAATAACATTGATTGAGACACAGCGTTAGTGAATAACATTGATAGAGACACAGAGTTAGTGAATAATATTGATAGAGACACAGAGTTAGGGAATAACATTGATTGAGACACAGAGTTAGGGAATAACATTGATAGAGACACCGCATTAGTGAATAACATTGATAGAGACACAGAGTTAGTGAATAATATTGATAGAGACACAGAGTTAGGGAATAACATTGATAGAGACACAGAGTTAGGGAATAACATTGATAGAGACACAGCATTAGTGAATAACATTGATAGAGACACAGAGTTAGTGAATAACATTGATTGAGACACAGCGTTAGGGAATAACATTGATAGAGACGCAGCGTTAGTGAATAACATTGATAGAGACACAGCATTAGTGAATAACATTGATTGAGACACAGAGTTAGGGAATAACATTGATAGAGACACAGAGTTAGGGAATAACATTGATAGAGACACAGCGTTATGGAATAACATTGATAGAGACACAGAGTTAGGGAATAACATTGATAGAGACACAGCGTTAGGGAATAACATTGATAGAGACACAGCGTTAGTGAATAACATTGAGCATTAGGGAATAACATTGATAGAGACACAGCGTTAGTGAATAACATTGAGCATTAGGGAATAACATTGATAGAGACACAGCGTTATGGAATAACATTGATAGAGACACATCGTTAGTGAATAACATTGATAGAGACACAGAGTTAGGGAATAACATTGATAGAGACACATCGTTAGGGAATAACATTGATAGAGACACAGAGTTAGTGAATAACATTGATAGAGACACAGAGTAGTGAATAACATTGATTGAGACACAGAGTTAAGGAATAACATTGATAGACACCGCATTAATGAATAACTTTGATAGAGACACAGAGTTAGGGAATAACATTGATAGAAACACAGAGTTAAGGAATAACATTGATAGACACCGCATTAATGAATAACTTTGATAGAGACACAGAGTTAGGGAATAACATTGATAGAGACACAGAGTTAGGGAATAACATTGATAGAGACACATCGTTAGGGAATAATATTGATAAAGACACAGCGTTAGTGAATAACATTGATAGAGACACAGAGTTAGGGAATAACATTGATAGAAACACAGAGTTAAGGAATAACATTGATAGACACCGCATTAATGAATAACTTTGATAGAGACACAGAGTTAGGGAATAACATTGATAGAGACACATCGTTAGGGAATAATATTGATAAAGACACAGCGTTAGTGAATAACATTGATTGAGACACAGAGTTAGGGAATAACATTGATAGAGACACAGCGTTAGGGAATAACATTGATAGAGACACAGAGTTAGGGAATAACATTGATAGAGACACAGAGTTAGGGAATAACATTGATAGAGACGCAGCGTTAGTGAATAACATTGATAGAGACACAGCGTTAAGGAATAACATTGATAGAGACACATCGTTAGTGAATAACATTGATAGAGACACAGCGTTAGTGAATAACATGGATAGAGACACAGAGTTAGGGAATAACATTGATAGAGACACAGCGTTAGTGAATAACATGGATAGAGACACAGAGTTAGGGAATAACATTGATAAAGACACAGCGTTAGTGAATAACATTGATAGAGACACAGAGTTAGTGAATAACATTGATTGAGACACAGCGTTAGTGAATAACATTGATAGAGACACAGAGTTAGTGAATAATATTGATAGAGACACAGAGTTAGGGAATAACATTGATTGAGACACAGAGTTAGGGAATAACATTGATAGAGACACCGCATTAGTGAATAACATTGATAGAGACACAGAGTTAGTGAATAATATTGATAGAGACACAGAGTTAGGGAATAACATTGATAGAGACACAGAGTTAGGGAATAACATTGATAGAGACACAGCATTAGTGAATAACATTGATAGAGACACAGAGTTAGTGAATAACATTGATTGAGACACAGCGTTAGGGAATAACATTGATAGAGACGCAGCGTTAGTGAATAACATTGATAGAGACACAGCATTAGTGAATAACATTGATTGAGACACAGAGTTAGGGAATAACATTGATAGAGACACAGAGTTAGGGAATAACATTGATAGAGACACAGCGTTATGGAATAACATTGATAGAGACACAGAGTTAGGGAATAACATTGATAGAGACACAGCGTTAGGGAATAACATTGATAGAGACACAGCGTTAGTGAATAACATTGAGCATTAGGGAATAACATTGATAGAGACACAGCGTTATGGAATAACATTGATAGAGACACATCGTTAGTGAATAACATTGATAGAGACACAGAGTTAGGGAATAACATTGATAGAGACACAGCGTTAGGGAATAACATTGATAGAGACACAGAGTTAGGGAATAACATTGATAGAGACACAGCGTTAAGGAATAACATTGATAGAGACACAGCGTTAGTGAATAACATTGATAGAGACACAGCGTTAGTGAATAACATTGATAAAGACACAGAGTTAGTGAATAACATTGATAGAGACACAGCGTTAGTGAATAACATTGATAAAGACACATCGTTAGGGAATAACATTGATAGAGACACCGCATTAGTGAATAACATTGATAGAGACACATCGTTAGGGAATAATATTGATAAAAACACAGCGTTAGTGAATAACATTGATAGAGACACATCGTTAGGGTATAACATTGATAGACACCGCATTAATGAATAACTTTGATCGAGACACAGAGTTAGGGAATAACATTGATAGAGACACAGCGTTAGTGAATAACATTGATCGAGACACAGAGTTAGGGAATAACATTGATAGAGACACAGCGTTAGTGAATAACATTGATAGAGACACAGAGTTAGGGAATAACATTGATAGAGACACAGAGTTAGTGAATAACATTGATGGAGACACAGCATTAGTGAATAACATTGATAGAGACACAGCGTTAAGGAATAACATTGATAGAGACACAGAGTTAGGGAATAACATTGATAGAGACACAGCATTAGTGAATAACATTGATCGAGACACAGAGTTAGGGAATAACATTGATAGAGACACAGCGTTAGTGAATAACATTGATAGAGACACAGAGTTAGGGAATAACATTGATTGAGACACAGAGTTAGTGAATAACATTGATAGAGACACAGAGTTAGTGAATAACATTGATAGAGACACAGAGTTAGGGAATAACATTGATAGAGACACCGCATTAGTGAATAAGATTGATCGAGACACAGAGTTAGGGAATAACATTGATAGAGACACAGCGTTATGGAATAACATTGATAGAGACACAGAGTTAGGGAATAACATTGATAGAGAGACAAAGAGTTAGGCAAAGGCATTGATTACTAGATCATTGGACACTGAGGGTCAGGGAATGTTTTAGTAAGAGATGTTTTCAGTTCAACGTTTTTGGTCTAACATGTAAAATTCACTTTGAATTCCCAACAATTCTCACTTTAGTTGATGACCCAAGGGATTCAAATAAAACATGTAGGTTGTTCTGACAAAATGATTTATATTCACAGTGACACACTATGGCTTGCAGCAACGTACAGAGTAAGCATGCAGTGATCCAGTGACGTACACAGTGATCCAGTGACAACACAGAGAAATCCAGTGACACACAGGGATCCAGTGACATACAGAGATCCAGTGACATAAGGAGAGATCCAGTGATGTACAGAGAGATCCAGTGGCATACAGAGATCCAGTGATATACAGAATAATCCGGTGATCCAGTGACTTGCAGTGAGATCCAGCAACCTGCAGTGCATGGAAGTGAGTTGCAGGGTGATCCAGTGAGATATGATGGCCTGGATGATCATCGCCCTCTGTGTGACAGGTAAGTCATCCTGAAAGCGCTGGTTAACCCATATTTAGGGCTGGATTCCCTGTAATCTAGGGCTGGTTAACCCATAGTTAGGGCTCAATTCTCTGTAATCTAGGGCTGGTGAACCTATATTTACAGCTTGATTCCCTGTAATCTTGATACAAGTAATATTCAGTTATTCGCACCAGACCATGTATTACTTGTGTCTACATTAGCTCTAGTGAGTACTTTTTGCATGTGAACTGCTGTCAAGCTCGCTCATATATTTTCCTTAAAGGGACACTACAGGGAGTGCAGAATTATTAGGCAAGTTGTATTTTTGAGGATTAATTTTATTATTGAACAACAACCATGTTCTCAATGAACCCAAAAAACTCATTAATATCAAAACTGAATATTTTTGGAAGTAGTTTTTAGTTTGTTTTTAGTTTTAGCTATGTTAGGGGGATATCTGTGTGCAGGTGACTATTACTGTGCATAATTATTAGGCAACTTAACAAAAAACAAATATATACCCATTTCAATTATTTATTATTACCAGTGAAACCAATATAACATCTCAACATTCACAAATATACATTTCTGACATTCAAAAACAAAACAAAAACAAATCAGTGACCAATATAGCCACCTTTCTTGCAAGGACACTCAAAAGCCTGCCATCCATGGATTCTGTCAGTGTTTTGATCTGTTCACCATCAACATTGCGTGCAGCAGCAACCACAGCCTCCTAGACACTGTTCAGAGAGGTGTACTGTTTTCCCTCCTTGTAAATCTCACATTTGATGATGGACCACAAGTTCTCAATGGGGTTCAGATCAGGTGAACAAGGAGGCCATGTCATTAGATTTTCTTTTTATACCCTTTCTTGCCAGCCACGCTGTGGAGTACTTGGACGCGTGTGATGGAGCATTGTCCTGTATGAAAATCATGTTTTTCTTGAAGGATGCAGACTTCTTCCTGTACCACTGCTTGAAGAAGAAGGTGTCTTCCAGGAACTGGCAGTAGGACTGGGAGTTGAGCTTGACTCCATCCTCAACCCGAAAAGGCCCCACAAGCTCATCTTTGATGATACCAGCCCAAACCAGTACTCCACCTCCACCTTGCTGGCGTCTGAGTCAGACTGGAGCTCTCTGCCCTTTACCAATCCAGCCACGGGCCCATCCATCTGGCCCATCAAGACTCACTCTCATTTCATCAGTCCATAAAACCTTAGAAAAATCAGTCTTGAGATATTTCTTGGCCCAGTCTTGACGTTTCAGCTTGTGTGTCTTGTTCAGTGGTGGTCGTCTTTCAGCCTTTCTTACCTTGGCCATGTCTCTGAGTATTGCACACCTTGTGCTTTTGGGCACTCCAGTGATGTTGCAGCTCTGAAATATGGCCAAACTGGTGGCAAGTGGCATCGTGGCAGCTGCACGCTTGACTTTTCTCAGTTCATGGGCAGTTATTTTGCGCCTTGGTTTTTCCACACGCTTCTTGCGACCCTGTTGACTATTTTGAATGAAACGCTTGATTGTTCGATGATCACGCTTCAGAAGCTTTGCAATTTTAAGAGTGCTGCATCCCTCTGCAAGATATCTCACTATTTTTGACTTTTCTGAGCCTGTCAAGTCCTTCTTTTGACCCATTTTGCCAAAGGAAAGGAAGTTGCCTAATAATTATGCACACCTGATATAGGGTGTTGATGTCATTAGACCACACCCCTTCTCATTACAGAGATGCACATCACCTAATATGCTTAATTGGTAGTAGGCTTTCGAGCCTATACAGCTTGGAGTAAGACAACATGCATAAAGAGGATGATGTGGTCAAAATACTCATTTGCCTAATAATTCTGCACTCCCTGTATAGGCACCAAAGCAGCTTTAGTTTAATGAAGTCATTTAATAGATCATGCCTCTGCAGTCTCACTGCTCAATTCTCTGACATTTAGGAGCTAAATCACTTTGCTTATGCACCCTAGTTACACCTTCTTGCAAGTGACCTTCCTAAACACTTCCTGTAAATAGAGATCTAATGTTTAATTTTCCTTTATTGCAAATTTTATTTAATTTAGAATTTCTTATCCACTACTCTGTTAATAGCTTGCTAGACCCTGCAATGGCCTCCTGTATGGGATTAAAGTTTAATTTACAGAGCAGGAGACAACGTCTAAGGCAAGTTAACATCTGATTGAAAGTGAAACCATTTTGTTTTCATGCAGGCTGGCTGAGTCACAGCCTGGGGAGGTGTGGCTAGGGCTATATAAACAAAAACAAAAGTGATTTAACTCCTAAATGGCAGAGAATTGAGCAGTGAGGCTGCAGAGGCATGATCTATACACCAAAACTGCCTCATTTAGCAAAGGTTGTTTTGGTGCCGGAAGTGTTGCTTTAATATTTCTTTAAAAAAAAAATTAAATCTATTTTTCTTGGTAGAATTATTTTTTTTCCTTAAAGTGGAGAATTTTTTTAATTTTTTTTGCTACCTTGCACCCCAGCAGAGTGGTCTCTATACTATACTAATACTATACTAATAAACAGTTTTTGCATATTCTATTTATATATTTTTCATTTGCTTGGGTGCGGTATTTATTGTTTTTGATTTTTATCTGAGTATTGCGAAATGTTCATCATGACTGATTTATAAATGATGTGTCAATAGTTGATGTGCAATTTAGGTTTTTTATTAAAAACAAATTGTTATTATACTCTGAATTATGGTGAATTTAATTATTTTACAGCTCCGCAGCTTACTGCAGCCCAACTCTCAGGGCTATTCCCTAAAATGTGAGTTGTAACAAATTCAAAGTGAATTTCAATGTTCATCCAAAGAAAAACAGAACTGGAAAACAATTTTATTTATTATTTTATTCTACTATCTTATCCTAAAATTAAAATTTAATTTACTTTGGATTGCCTACTTTCCAGGCTATAGTTAATCACACTGTTTATTGTAGTAAATTGTTGGAATTATTTGAAATAATGCTTTGAATATAGCTGAGTCTGGCAAATTTTTCCAGATAACCTATTTTTGTCTATGTTTTGCAACTTTGATTTGAATTCATTATAATTCAGAGGTCGGCCCTGTATGACTTTAATTAATCAGATATTCATTTTTGTAATTTTCAATCTTTCATGATTTATTATCCAGTATAATGTATAATTATAATTTATATTAATTTGTAATTCATTCACATAATCCATTTGGTCTTATTTTTAGATTTTTGCATTACAAAATGTTGTCTGAACAATGAGGGGGAAATGACCAGTGTGTCATGGAGTATAAATCACTAACGAGGAATTGCACATTTTAAGGACAAAATAGACAGAAAGTGAAATATTTTTCCAACAGAACTCATTTTTAAAGTTTGTTCATTTCATGTAAAATATCTTTGTCAATTCCTCAAAGTTCTCGATTCAATGACTAAACATTGCAGACTGTGGAAATGTTGTTGAAGCATTGTTAGATCTGTTGTAATACTTAATTAATTACTTTAATAATAATAAGTGTTCTGCTGTTGTATTAACTTTTGTTTTTGTTTCTGGAGGTAATTAATTTTTACGTAGATGCAGACACTAATCGTTTTGGTATTTTTCTCATGGATGTGCCTTTATACGAGACCCCCGATTGCTGCTAATTGATGCTCTAAGAGACACATTATAGAAATAACCAGTTATGGCCACTAATTCCCACAAACACCCGGGAGCCGTCCTGTGATGTTTGGTGTTTTCGTCCTCGCCAGACCGGCCCAAACTCCAGGGTGTTGTCGTCGTCTTCAGAAATCAGTCCATGACTCACTGCACAGTCATGGCTGAAACTTTAACCCTTTGAGTGATGTACTAAGAAATGGCTTCCAAAGAACAGTCTAGAGAAGGAAAAGGCAACCTTCGGCACTTCAGATGTTGTGAACTGCATCTCCCACAGAGCATCAGGGGAGATGTAGTCCAATACATATGGAATGTTGAAGGTTGCCCAACCCTGGTCTAGAGTAGAGGGAGTCCGACATCATCCCTCCGTCGAATGTCTTTTTACAATTTCTCTCAGAATAGCCCAGTCTAGGAGTTGTACTCTGTACGGGCCCTACTTTATGAGCTAAGACACACACAGTCACCATCACAGACAGTAACACACCGTCCCCACGAGGGTCCATCTGCCATGTTTAATTCCGGAAATCCATAAAATGTAAAACATAGTGCTCCGAGACTTTCTAATGCTATAAGGATAAACCTTTCAAGCTAATTAAAATAGACTACATAACACACATAGAGTAAACAAAGACAGTTTCTAATTGTTAAATTGTACTTGGTAGGTGGCCATAGTTAGTAGTGCAGATTAAATCTTTATTTTTCAGTTAATGTATCCTGGGGGGTAATGAATGCCTACTTTTGCTCATTCTTATTATCTAACATTTGCCTCCAAGGAGCTAAATTTTTGTTCCGCTTATGAGACTCGCGTACGATAACTTAGATTGCAAGCTCTGTGGGGCAGTGTGACCAAGGCTGAATAGACTATGAGGATAATATAATCCTCTATGAGACATATCTAAATTCTAACTTCACAAATATTTGTCCTTGCTGGAGTTCTCCATATTTTCCTTTTAAAATGGAAATTGGTGAAAGATAAATGTATCAGAATTTACATCAGATGCCATTATAGTGTGTAATAATTGAATAAAGCAAACAATGCTAATCTCCTAATCTGTCTGTAATCTACCTGTCTCGTTAATCCGTTATCTGTTTCTCTAATTCACCAGCTGTGTCCCAGCTTTCCAGAGCAACGCCAGGTAAGAGACATAGCGAGATACATGGGGCTATTACCAGGGATTCTGGGGGGAATTTTACAATTAGGACAATTTACCCACAGCTGGACAATTGTTTAAATTCACCGTTTATTGAATAAACCCTGTAGAAATAATAACAGTCTATAGATATCATTTTATATCTAGTTCTATGGCGTTCTGGATGTTTGTCAGATATAAATATTGTGCTCTGTGTTCTTATATTGGTACATATGGTTATAGTGCTTATATAGTTCTATAGATACAGATAGAACTACTGTATTGTTCTATAGATACGGATAGATTCCCTGTATTGTTCTATAGATATGGATAGATTCCCTGTATTGTCCTATAGATACGGATAGAGTCCTTATATTGTTTTGTAGATATTGATAGAATTTCTTTAGATATACATAGTGTCCTTTATATAATTCTATAGATATACATTGTATCCGGTATATCATTCTATAGATATACATTGTGTCCTGTATATAATTCTATAGATATACATTGTGTCCTGTATATAATTCTATAGATATACATTGTATCCGGTATATCATTCTATAGATATACATTGTATCCGGTATATCATTCTATAGATATTCATTGTGTCCTGTATATAATTCTATAGATATACGTTGTATCTGGTATATAATTCTATAGATATACATTGTGTCCAGTATATAATTTTATACATATACATCGTGTCCGGTATATAATTCTATAGATATACATTGTGTCCAGTATATAATTTTATACATATACATCGTGTCCGGTATATAATTCTATAGATATACATTGTGTCCTGTATATAATTCTATAGATATACATTGTGTCCTGTATATAATTCTATAGATATACGTTGTATCTGGTATATAATTCTATAGATATACATTGTGTCCGGTATATAATTCTATAGATAAGTCCGTATTGCATTTTCTGCAGTCATCACTCAGAGTTTTCTATTATCTTTCAGTTTGTGGCAAGCAGGGTGTACAGGAGCATATTTATGGAGGAGCCAATGCAATGCCCGGAGAGTGGCCTTGGCATGCCAGTCTGAGCTACCTGGGCAAGCCGTTCTGTGGGGGCAGTCTCATATCTGACAGCTGGGTCATCACCGCTGCTCACTGCTTTGATGGGTAAGCACATTCAGAATTCTTCATGGTATCTTATCTAGAACTGCAATTCCAGCCCAGTCCTCAAGGCACCAATGGTCAATATCCCAACAGAAATGAAAGCTAAACCGCGTACAGTCCGAGAGCCTTGACAATTGGGTTGGAATCCTTGATCTAGACAATGCTTGGGGTCTATGTCAGAATAATCAAACAGGGACAGTGACTGACAGAAGGTGGATATCCTCCCCGGGCAAATTGCATGGTGAATGGTTTGCCCATCTGCAGGTGAGTACCTACCACTGAGTCTCTTCCAAAGTTAATTATCTCTTTCTGCACTGATCAGATTGGGGCCGTTATTTATTCATTACACCCACGGGCCAAAGGGCAAGAGTGACTTCTTCAGACAGAAATTATCTAGTGATTAGTTCGATCTTCTGATATTCCTTGTTAATGACTTGGAAACAATCCAGGTAGTGCCATGAATTACTGACTAGTAGGATCAGACGATTATATCAGTTGGAGATACCGTATAACCGGAGCAATTAAACTTAATGTCAAATGGTTTTTTTTTTACCAAATCAGGAGGGTTCTTAAAGTACGTCCATTTATCCTCTATTTTTACCTAGGTTTGTAGGAATCAGAAATCCCATATATACTGCACTAAAATTAGAAATATTTTACTGTGTCGAGAAATTCCCGTCACAATCCTGTTCACTCCTGGCACAACCTTGGCACAGTCAGTCCACACAGTGTATTTAAAGTGGAGTAGCAAACATTGAGTGTGTTTATCCTTCTTGGTTTATAATAGTAATAGGTTTATGCAGAGCTCATAGCTCTAATTTCATTTTCAAACCATTTTACTTTAGGACAACAGCAAAGTATTTAAAAGTCCACCGAAGGGACCATTCCCCTAGCTTTTTGCTTTTTTCCAATAAAGCCAGCCTCTAAGAATAAATAGCTGAACGTGTTAAGACTTTTTTTTCAATTGAATGTATTTTGTGATTGTAAGGTGGACAAAAACAACCACACAAACACAGGCACACAAACTTAGAATTATACTTTCATTGACGAAATACCTTTACACATTTTTGCATTCAGTTTATGTAGTGACAGCGTGCCTGAACAATCCATTAAATTTACTGAGTGGATACCAGGTAATTTATTTTACTTAATTGCAGGCTTTTGGGGACAGTGTTGGGGGTTCTGTTCGCCCTCAATTCCCCTGGCTTCTCGGTGGATGCATTTGCTCTGTTGCTCCTGGATCTGCAACTAACATTAACAGGGTTTGACCAGATAAATAGGAAATAATTATGGACATTAGCTTTTCCAGTTATAACGACCATATTGAGGAGTTAGTGGGTACGTGATATTCCTACTATTATCTTTGCTAGCTTTCTCAACCAATCCATGGATAGTAATTATAGCAATGATTTATTCATGAAAAGATGATATGTGGGTAACTCAGTGAGCAAGGCGTCCACATCACGAGACGCTAAGGATATGCAATTTAATGGAAACAGAATGTGTTACAGTTTGTCCAACATCCCTTTCATCATATCTCTAATTCATTTAATTACTCTTGCTTCAGACTTTTCCCATGCAGTTTCTGTCTCCCACACCCTGAGTTGCCTGTCCTATTGCAGATCAATAACTCTTACTGATATCTGTCTCTCAGATTAATCCTGTGTGATTTACAACTGCAAACTTGATGCCTCGCTATTAATGACAAGGTGTGTTATCTCTTTGTGGTGCTGTCAAGGCTACTTATAGTAATCTCAATTTAACTAACCTATAATTAAATCCCAGCATAATATTATACATCAAGGACTCATTCCACTTTTCTGTTACTGAAGGAAGTACTGTGGACTTGTATACTGAGAAAAAAAAATGATGTTCGTCCAAATTGATTTGTCTGAAAAGTTTTTGGGGTTTAAACGACCGAATTTTGTCCATGTAGGGTTTCGGTTTGGAAAAATTAGAAATGTTATGCCAACCCCCATAATGTCTGATGAAGAGAACATTTACTCTCACATTATCTTGACAGGCTATGGAAAGCATACATGTAGATGCAACCTGTATTTTTGAAGACTTCTAACTTTCACTATGTCCCTTTAAGAAACTCACCCTCGAAGGATCCAAAGTCATGGACTGTGCAGCTGGGCTTCACCAAATTTGGCGATGTGCCAGAGAACTCGGCTGTCAATGTGACAATACTGAAGATAGTGATCCCTGGAAACTACACAAACTTTGTGGTGGGAACGGATATGGCTTTGGTGAAGCTGTCTCACCCGGTGGCATTTACACAACTTATTTCCCCTGTCTGCCTCCCAGAAAAGACTCACAGATTCCGTTTACGTAGTACCTGCTATGCCACCGGCCTCATGAATGTATCTGAAGAGGATAAGAGTGCAGAAAAAGATGTACCAGAAAAAGGTAAGTGAAAGGAATGAGATGTACTCAAAGACGTCTACTTGGAGAGAGAGGAAAGAGATGTAGCCAAAGAGGGAGGAAGAAGTTGTACTTAAGAAAGGATCAGGAGACACCTAAAGAGGGAAAAACAGATGTCCCAAAATAGGACTAAAGCATATTTAAGGGGGTCAATGAGGATGAAGTTGCAAAAACTCTTTCTTCCATTAAATGTGTTTCTTCATTTAATTTTTATTTTATTTCCCTCTCTTTCCTTGCTCTGTCAGTGCCGCTGGACAGCACAAGGGCTCTGCACAAAGTGACTATAATCCTGGTCGGCTGGAGAACCTGTAACTGTATCTACAACTCTTACATGAAGCCAGAGCTGTTAAACCCCACAAAGCCAGGCATGATGTGTGCAGTAGAACATGATGAGCAAATAGGGCCAAGGCTCGTGAGTGACATCATGCAATTCAGTGTGACATCATATGTGTATTTTGGATTTTGCTCAAATGAAAAAAAATTATCATCATTGTTCTCCTCTCACTAAATTACTATTTTGACTCTTTTTCAGGGCGACTCTGGGGGTCCGATAGTCTGTAATGAGGATGGCACCTGGTTCCTTGCTGGTATCATCAGTTTCTCTGCACAGTTCAAACTACATGATACTCCCACCATTGTCACTGCCGTGTCTTTCTATCAAGAATGGATCCAGAACAATGTGGACACTGAGGCTTCCTTTGCCCCCCAAACCATCACAGTGACCGATGACGTAGACACTGATAACTGCAGTGACCTCCTGAGCACCAAGAACCCAGGTAACCTCTAGGACCAAGCAGAACAGCTCTATGACAAGGCCCTGGACATGACAGCTCTCCAACTGACACTAGAACTTAACACTGTGTTTTGCATCTTAGCAAATGTGGAAACTGGCAAATGCTGGGCATGCCTATAGTCCAATATAACATCCTGAATGTTTCCACAGGCTGCGGGAGAATCCTCCAAATAAAGGCTCGTGGTTCTAATGACGCAGGTGCGTGGCCTTGGCAGGTGGACCTGGTGAACAATGGGCTCCATGCATGTGGAGGTGCCTTGATATCTGACTCCTGGGTGATAACAGCTGCTCACTGCTTTACTGGGTGAGAAAACTAAATATTCGGATGGAAACATTCAGGTGGATATGGTGAATGTTTGTGGCAAAGACAGAACCAAAACGGGTGTCCAGAAATGGTTTGAGTGAAAGATGAGATCGAAAATAAATGTGAGAATAAAAGAGAATATGAAACTCAGTACAAAAAGTTTATTTTTCTTGTTTTAATGAATAAAAGCTGGCTATTTTCTGTGTGATCTAGGTGTCCTAATCTCTCAGTATCTCGTTGTCTCCATTTTCTTATCATCTTTTATTTTATCTTTTCCATCTCTTTGTGTATTATCAGACCTCTCTCATCAGACTCCCCACATGGCTGGACTGTAATAGTGGCCCCTGGGTCGCCAGCCATGCGTGAGATCTCTGTCCAGAGGATAAGCATGCATGGAGCATTTATATCACCAGAGGACGGGAGAGATGTTGCCCTACTTCAACTTGCCCAACCAGTTAATTTTGGGCCATACATTCAGGCAGTCTGCCTCCCTCAAGCTTCCAACCACATAAAGTATGGATCTTCATGCTGGCACACTGGGTGGGACAGACCCACCGTTGGTAAGTTAGATAGGCTAATATACAGCTCCCAACGCGTTTCATCACACTCCATGTAGCGTCCTGTCTAGTGTAATGTCTTGATGACCCCATGGGTGGGTTTGACCATTTCTTATTGCTCTGCAGATGGAAAGACTGGGCCACCGAGGGCTGTGGAGATGGAGCTGATTGATCCTAGCCAGTGTAACTGTATCTACAGCCACCCAAGCTCAGCCAATCACAGCATGTCCATACTACCCGGCATGATCTGTGCCTCCAACAAGGAGAAAGAGGAAAACCAATGCCTGGTCAGTAAAGGGGAACATGTTTTACCATTAACTTCTTTACAGGGAACATGAATAGATATCTGTGGTTCCCCCTGTGGTTGCTATTTGCTATTACACCTCAGATGGCTTTTTAAAAATGATTATTTATTTATTTTTGAGAACTTTTTCGTTTTACATGTAGCAAGAAAAATATTCATATCGGGACACGCAGGTCCCTATTGCAGTATGACATAAGTATAGACATTATATCGCGTACAGTACGGATGATATGTTACATTAGTAGGACAGTCCAGTCTTGGGAAATTTAAAAGACTTTCTTGAGGCCATGTGCCTAGTTTTTGATAACTCCAATCGCTGTGCTACAGCAGACGCCATACTCCTTCATTTACATCAAGGGAGGAGCTCTGTGGCTGAAAATGCTGCTGAAGTCAGACAATGGGTTGCTGATACTATTTGGAACCAATCAGCCGAGAGGTTCCACTTCAGAAGGGGTCTCTCAGAAGCTATAAAAGATGAGCTAGCTCGTGTTGAATTTGATGCATTTGTGCGGTTGGCTACCCCTGGAAAGACAGGGCTCTTTTAAACCAAGTGCTAGTCCTGCTTTCTATTCAAGAATTTGTACTCTGACCCCACAAACATCTACAGACTCTGAACCTGAGGCTATGCAGGTTGATCATTATCCATCTATCATTACTAATGACCACTACAGATTAAAAGCTCCTCTCTCCTCACTGTGATAGGATATATGCACCTTTGTGATAGCTACACCTAGTGGTGAGAATAGATCATTACAGTCCACACATGAGGCCAGCTCATTAAAGGGACACTATAGTCACCTAGAGCTTAATGTAGTTTTTCAGGTGAGAGCTATAGCTCCCTGCAGGCAATCTAATGTAAACCCTTCCTATCATGTAGGGCCCTAAAAAGGCCATGTACATGTCAGACGTATTAAAATACGTCTGACGTGTGCAGGAGAGAGAAGGCACTGTGGGCGCGCCTTCTCTCTCCTGCCTGTCAGCAGAGGAGAGGGGGCGGGCAAAGACCGCGAGCTGAGCTGTCAGTCAGCTCAGCTTGCGGCCGCGCACACCGCGCGCATGTGAGGTAGTGCGCTCAGGACTTCATAGGGCGGCATGATTGCTCCCTGCTCGCGCCCGCCTATTTAGTCATTTTGACGAAATAGGGGGCGCGGCTTCACGAGGCTCCCGGCGCTGGAACGAGTTGAGTAAAAATGGCTGCCTGGAGTGTCCCTTTAAGTTGTAAATTTTAACACCTAGACGTGACAGTTGGAATTAGAGAACTGCAGTGGGAGAGCTCCATCTAGTGTACAGTGTAGGGCATTACATCATCAGAGCAAGATTTGATGTGATGAGCCATTGCAATGTAATTGCTCCATCTGGTGGGCATATTAGATCACTGCATGTTTTAATTTCCATATACTGGATAGGATAGGAGATCATTGCAGTGTTAGAACTCCATCCCATAGAGTATATGTGTATCTGTATGTAGTGTGTGTGTGTATCTGTATGTAGTGTGTGTGTGTATCTGTATGTAGTGTGTGTGTGTCTGTATGTAGTGTGTGTGTGTATCTGTATGTAGTGTGTGTGTGTATCTGTATGTAGTGTGTGTGTGTCTGTATGTAGTGTGTGTGTGTGTATATGTATGTAGTGTGTGTGTGTCTGTATGTAGTGTGTGTGTGTCTGTATGTAGTGTGTGTGTCTGTATGTATGTAGTGTGTGTGTGTCTGTATGTAGTGTGTGTGTGTCTGTATGTAGTGTGTGTCTGTATGTAGTGTGTGTGTGTGTGTGTGTATCTGTATGTAGTGTGTGTGTGTCTGTATGTAGTGTGTGTGTCTGTATGTGTGTGTGTATCTGTATGTGTAGTGTGTGTGTCTGTATGTAGTGTGTGTGTGTTTGTATGTGTGTAGTTTGTGTATACTGCATGTGTGTAATGTGTATCTGTGTGTAGTGTGTGTGTGTCTGTATGTAGTGTGTGTGTGTCTGTATGTAGTGTGTGTGTGTATCTGTATGTAGTGTGTGTGTGTCTGTATGTAGTGTGTGTGTCTGTATGTAGTGTGTGTGTGTATCTGTATGTAGTGTGTGTGTGTCTGTATGTAGTGTGTGTGTCTGTATGTAGTGTGTGTGTGTTTGTATGTGTGTAGTTTGTGTATACTGCATGTGTGTAATGTGTATCTGTGTGTAGTGTGTGTGTGTCTGTATGTAGTGTGTGTGTCTGTATGTAGTGTGTGTGTGTGTTTGTATGTTTGTCATGTGTATCTGTGTGTAGTGTGGTTATCTGTGTCTGTATGTGTGTAGTTTGTGTACACTGTATGTGTGTAACGTGTATCTGTTTGTGTAGTGTATATATCTGTATGTCTGTGTATCTGCATGTGTGGCAGTGTTTGTATCTGTATGTGTCAGTGTCTGTTTGTGCATGTCTGTATGTCTGTGTATCTGCAGGCTTATCAGTGTGCCTGTACATCTGTATGTGTGTCAGTATCTACATGTGTGTCAGTTTTTGATACATATACAGACAAACAAACACTGTCACACATGCAGATACACAGACAAACAGATACAATCACTGACAAACATACAGACACACAGATACAAACACTGACACACATGCATATACACAGACACATTGTACAGGTAAGTGTATTGGCTGCAGTGCACACACAGACACTAGCTACATCCCCAGCACAAACAGAGACACATACTACATCCCCAGCACACCCACACACATACTACGTCCCCAGCACATACAGACATATACTACATCCCCAGCATGCACACAGTCTCAAGCTATAGCCCCAGCATACACACAGACACTCACTACATCCCCAGCACACACAGACACTCACTACATCCCCAGCACACACAGACACTCACTACATCCCCAGCACACACACAGACACACACTACATCCCCAGCACACACACAGACACACACTACATCCCCAGCACACACAGACACTCACTACATCCCCAGCACACACACAGAAACTCACTACATCCCCAGCACACACAGACACTCATTACATCCCCAGCACACACAGAGACACACACTACATCCACAGCACACACAGACATATACTACATCCCCAGCACACACAGACACATACTACATCCCCAGCACACACACATACAAACACTACATCTCCAGCACACACAGACACATAAGACACATACTACATCCCCAGCACACACACAGACACACACTACATCCCCAGCCCACACAGACACATACTACATCCCCAGCACACACACAGACACACACACACAGACACACACTACATCCCCAGCACACACACAGACACACACTACATCCCCAGCACACACACAGACACACACTACATCACCAGCACACACACAGACACACACTACATCCCAAGCCCACACAGACACATACTACATCTCTAGCACACACACAGACATATACTACATCCCCAGCACACACAGACACACTACATCCCCAGCACACACACAGACACATACTACATCCCCAGGCCACACAGACATATACTACATCCCCAGCACACACACAGACATAAGCTACATCCCCAGCACACACACATACACACACTACATCTCCAGCACACACAGACACTACATGCCCAGCACACACACAGACACACACTACATCCCCAGCCCACACAGACACATACTACATCCCCAGCACACACACAGACACACACTACATCCCCAGCCCACACAGACACATACTACATCCCCAGCACACACACAGACACACAATTACATCCCCAGCACACACAGACACACACTACATCCCCAGCCCACACAGACACATACTACACCCCCAGCACACACACAGACACACTACATCCCCAGCACACACACAGGCACATACTACATCCCCAGCACACCCACATAGAGACACTACCATTGCAGAAGCATATATGTTTTGTTGTTGTTGTTTTTGTTGGTTTGGGGGGGAGGGGGATGGTATCTATACTTGGATCCAGGCAGCACAATGTCTTACAAGTGATGGGGAGACTGTAGGCACCCAGACCACTTCAGCTCAGTTTTAGGGAGATAAAGAGGACAATATTTGAGGGAGAGACTGAATTACTACAGAGGGAGACCCTAAAGGAAAGTTCTAGGGGAAAGTAGCCCTGTTCCTACCTGTTTACCCTGATTTATTCTTCTTGTGTAGAGCGACTCTGGTGGACCCCTTGTTTGTCAAGAGGATGAAGTATTTGTTCTTGTTGGGCTGCAAAGCTTTGGTGGGAAGTGTCAGCAAAGGGTGGAAGGGGACATCATCCTTCCTGGAGTGTTCACTCAGCTTATCACCTACGAGGATTGGATGTACCATGTGACAAATGACAATTCTTTAAATCTACAGCCAACGGCCGCCTACAGGGAGGTGGACAATGAGAGATGCCCCATAAATCTTTCAAGAGGTACAGGTCAACCTTGGGTGCAGTGTGAAGGTCTGTGTGAGTGTTTGAGGGGAGCAAAACTTGTCGATTACATAGAATCCACACTGAGTAAAAATATAAGTGTAATACTTGTTTTAAACCTCAGAATAAGCTGTTCACCTATTAACTTGCATAGTACAGATTGCCGTTTGCAGGTAATTGATTATAAATATTGATTAAATATTTGATATTCCCGTACTTGTCCATGTCAAACCAATACACTCTCTTAGATATATCATTGCCATGATAATCTAGTAGGCAGTAATTTAATGCCGATAATTTTGCCTTGTTTGTTAGGTTGTGGATACACAATCTCGTCCCCCGGTTCTGTTCCTAATAACAATGAGACAGAAGGTGCTTGGCCATGGCTAGTGAGTGTTCAGAGATATGAGTGGCATGCCTGTTCTGGTGCTGTGATTGCTCAGACCTGGGTCCTCACCTCAGCTCACTGCATGTTCAGGTAGGATTCAGAAACTTGGCTCAAGGACATGCGGCCTTCTGCCCCTTAGTGGATTTGTTGTACCTAGAACATTTGTGGGCTAATGTATCCCTTTTGTCTCGACAGTTATAAACTCGATTTAAATGATGATTACACCATTATCCTGGGGAGGCACAGTCAGAATGGCCCAAACCATCATGAAGTAACACGCAAAGTCCGACGGGTAGTTATCCACCCAGAGTACAACCAAACCTCAGGAAAAAATGACCTGGCACTGATAGAGGTCTACTATGGTGTCACCTTTAGTGATTACATCCAACCCATCTGCCTTCCGCCTGAAGACTCTAAACCGCCAAACACCGGCTGCTGGGTCACTGGATGGGAAACCTGGAACCCACCAGGTAAACTGGCATAGATGTGGGTTAGAGGTGAAACCTTGTCACAAACATTGCACCTCAATTGTCATCCTTTACAGAACCAATAATAATAGTGCACCAATGAAAAGTAAATGTGGAACTGTTGAGTTTGAAGTAATGATTTTGTAATGGATTTACTTTCGTTAGAATGCAGTATTGTTGCATCTCTGTTTGTTAAGGTGCATCTGGCGACAGAAGTGTGGAGAGATTTGTACCCACTAATGGACCATGGACACTCCATGAATTATAAAACTAGACACCTGAGATGCTATGAAATATAACTTTCATTAAATCGAAATTCTGTGTGAGAATATGTTGATATGAAAATATTTTTTGTTGTTTTAAATCACTATATTGTAAGTGGGAGACTCTGAATACCGGTGAAGAATTGAGTGTGTAGTGTCTTATTGGTGGAAATGTGGCCAATCAACAATTAACAATACTCTCTGTCTTCTTCTCCTCCAGAAAACAAACCTGCATCTCCTTTAATTCAGGAATTAGAAGTGTCTCTGCTGCTCAATGAGAAATGTGGAGATCAGGGGAACAAATCTGGACCAAACCAAGATACCCAGCTATGTGCAGCGAAGATAAATGAAAAGGACTTTACTTGTCTGGTAGGAAAAAAAATTAAAAGAATGTAAAAGCTATAAAACACCACTGCCTTGTCTCTTTATCACTATATTCAATCATGCAAAATCCCCGCCACTGTCCTTTCCCTTTCTATCTCAGCCCATTGATCCTTCAGTCTCTCCTATTCCTTCACTGTCCCAACCCATCCATCCATCATCCTCTCCTTGTCCATCCCTCCATCATTTTCTCCTTGTCCATCATTGACCCATCCCTCCATCATTATCTTCTTGTCCATCACTGCCCCGTCCCTCCATCATTCTCTCCTTGTTAATCACTGCACTATCTGTCCATCATTCTCTTTTTGCCCACCAGCAACCCATCACTCCATCATTCTCTACGTCTCCATCCCTCCACCATTCTCTCCTTATCATCACTGACCCACCCATCCATCATTTTCTCTATTATTCTGTTCATGGCTGATATTTTCCCATTTCTCTGTCATTCTCTCCATCAACCGGTACTATTCCTGTATTATTCTCAAATCCGTGATTGCTCCGTATCTGTCATTCTATAACTGTCTACTACTGTCAAGTCTCATTAATCCATGCCAATCAATGCTTCATCTCACCACACTTCTTCCCATGCCCAGTACGGTCATTCCTCTCTATCACCCATCACTTTTTCTCAACTTGCCCATCGCTGCCCTTTTTCCTTTCCTTTTCTCTGTGCCCATAACTGCCTTACAAACCATCATTCACCCCTCGTCCATCACTGTACAGTTTCTCCATCATTCCTGCTCAACCAAGGACTGCTTCTTCTCTCCCTCACTACTAGTCATTTTCTGGATGGCCACCTCTTGATCATCCCCTGTTTGCCTATCACTGCCCCATGGCTCAGTAAATCTCTCCATACCTCTTACTGCCCTGCTTCTCTGTCTCTTGCTTTACGTCCATTATATGTACCTTGTTTTGGCAGTAGCCTCCTTTATGTTTTCTTATTACCCCTCTACCCTTGTTTTGCATATTGTCTCACCAGTCTCTATTTATTACCCAATCACAGAAGGAATCCAGTGCACCCCTGGTGTGCCAGCTGCATCCTGGAGGACCATGGTTCTTGTTTGGCATTGGCATCTCACTCAGAAAATCTAGGAGTTATGAGTGTCCTGCAAAATATACTTCAATACCCTCCAAGTTGTCTTGGGTCAGGGAGGTCGTACCACACACAGAGTTTGACTTAGTCAAGTTACTCACCCAATGATCACAAGTCCAAAACACTGGCATTACTTCCCATGGCACCAAATGCTGAAATCTGACAACACTTGAATGTGAATGCCACTCAAACTCCTCAGGATGTGAGCACCAGCAACCCACCGAATGCCAATGCGTCAGCACAACACAACAAGAAAGGGCTACAACACAGAATTGGATACAATGAGTACAGCTTGTACAAGATGGCACACAATGGGTATCTCTCACAACACTGACTTTACTACGTCTTTGGCGGACCTGATACAAGGCTCAGTCTCTCAGTCTCTAATTTTACTGGAACCATGCCACCAGTGGTTCCTCTGCAGCTCATGTAGAGTAGAACTGACTCTTCAACTGCCTTCTAACTGTCCTTTGTGTATTCCATGGCTTGTAAACTGAGACTGGGAGTGATGATTAGCTGTGACTGCTCGAGATTGTCACGCAACCCTTCCCGATACCTTGCTCCCAGGCACTGCGGCTAAGTGTGGGTGGCGAGGATATGTTATCTAGGGAGGATATTGAAAGCCGTTTTCAAGGTTGGCAAACATAAGATCTGCAGTCCAGTTTTGGCAGAATTACACTAACTGATTATGATTAAGTAAGTTATCAATCTCCAGCTCTGTGGACCCACCTAGCAATATGTAGAATCCAGCGACATTGACCCTTTATGCTCTCAAAAGAGAAAGTAACAACAGTGAGTGCATGATATGGACAATCTTTAATGGAAATAGTTTGTTCCTAAACTTGTGTTAGGGTTTCTGTGTGAGAGATTAGACTGTTTTTATTATAATGAAGACACAAATATTATTTGGTTATTTAATTATATTTATTATTGAAGAGATTCAGGTAATCAAAGTACACAGCATAACGTCTCACAGCCTCTACACACTCAGCATCCTGTACTAATCACAGTCACTACACATAATCATGTACTAATCAAAGCCTCTACACACACAGCATCCTGTACTAATCACAGCCACTACACAGAATCATGTACTAATCAAAGCCTCTACACACTCAGCATCCTGTACTAATCACAGCCACTACACATAATCATGTACTAATCAAAGCCTCTACACACTCAGCATCCTGTACTAATCACAGCCACTACACAGAATCATGTACTAATCAAAGCCTCTACACACTCAGCATCCTGTACTAATCACAGCCACTACACATAATCATGTACTAATCAAAGCCTCTACACACAGCAGCCTGTACAAATCACATCCTCTACCCAGCATCATGTACTAATCACAGCCTCTACACAGCATCATGTACAAATCACAGCCTCTACCCAGCATCATGTACTAATCACAGCCTCTACGCACACAGTACCCTGTACTAATCACAGCCTCTACGCACACAGTATCCTGTACTAATCACAGCCTGTACGGACACAGAATCCCTTTACCAATCAGAGCCTCTACGCACACAGTATCCTGTACTAATCACAGCCTCTACGGACACAGAATCCTGTACTAATCACAGCCTCTACGCACACAGCATCCCTTTACTAATCACCGCCTCCATACACACACACAGAATCCTGTACTAATCACAGCCTCTACGCACACAGTATCCTGTACTAATCATAGCCTCTACGCACACAGCATCCTGTACTAATCACAGCCT